GTACGGACTACAGAGTACAATAACTCCGTATCCGTACTCCCTGCCTACTGGGCATATCTGACGATTGACAAGGCTCGCCTCTAGATCGCTTCTTAGCATCCGTCATATCGGGTGCGGCGTAGCAACTAGCAAGAAGGCAAGACTTCGGCAGCACATCACATCGCAGTCCACACTCCTCGTTCAATCCAACTTATGACCCGATTTGCGTCGCTCCCATCAAACTTACCTTGGTATCCCCTATGCGGCAATGTCTTCTGATCATACTGTTGTCAGGTGGCACTGGCAGCGGAACACTTCCAAGCAAATCCTCATCAATAGGCGACACTGTTCCATAGAATTTCACAGCCTACATCATCTTAACGGAGGACCGTCCCATTGTCGAATTCCAGACATCGCCACAGAAGACCTCATCCACCTTGCGATCCTAGGCTTGGAGGAACGCCGAGCCTTGGTTGACGAGGAAGGTCGAAACCCCGGCTCGAGCGTCGGCCAAGGCTTCCATATTAATACCAGCAAATGAAGCCAAGAGACAGCTCTGTTAGACTGTTACAATCTCGAGCCGAGGAACGCCTGTCAGACTCTCAAAAAAGTTGATCTAAGGTGAGGGTAGTGCTATGCAGTGACTTCTCATCTGCTCTTTGCTCAGGTCTACCAGGCTTCGATTTCCAGACTTCAACCTCAAGGACATGCAACCATCAGCCTGTATCAGGCAGCTATTCATAATCCACAAAGGGTCACAAGGCATCTTACTCTATTTCAACCACTCTAGCCTTGGTGCGCTTGAACTGTAAAGGATCGAAGGGCCCTTTTCTACCAAAGATACGAAAAGTTGAGAAAATCAAAGTTCAATGTCCATGAATAACCGACCCCACAGAGTCGAACAAACCAATCAACATTCTCACACTCTGAGAATAACAACCTAACTACGTGGAAACTCGTGGCATTCAAAGGCTTGGCCATGTAGGACACTTTTTCATTGGGCGAAAATGCACACAATCGGTGAAATTCATTCAAAAGTCGAAGTGGGTCACTCATCGCATGTGCCCTACCTTAACTCTCAGACACTTCAGCGGAGAACTCCTCTCTTCCCTGAGTTGCAACAAATGCTCTTAATAGTCATTTGAAGGCCCTTGTATCCGATGATCATACTATAATTGTTATTGTAAGACGCTCGCCAGACCATTCAATGCCCAGGGTGATCTTCTAGTAGCTGAAGTCCGTGCAGCTAGACATCAGAAGGATGTAGTCACGCGTCCTACTCAGCTGATTGTTAATGATGGAGGTGGATATCTAACTTAAACTGTACCACGGCAGCCGAGATAGCGTGCAGTCCTGCAGTATACTGATTACTGGCTGACGTCGAGTGTTGATGACGAAATGATCAACCAAAAAGCCATGCCTTGTCGCAGTGAGAGCCGAGAGCCTGAGGCAGATTGAGGAGCTGTATTTGTTGAATTTTTGTCTACAGCTCCAGTGAGCTGCTTTACCGGTATTTCCTAAGCTCTGTCTCTATTCAAGTCTAGAAGTGCCTATTCGACAAAGCAATGGGTGAAATCTCCATATGTCCCTCATCAACCATCATAGCCAGAATGTCGTCGCAATAATGATTGTAATCCACATGATACACAAGCCCACTTGAAGCCAGCTTATACTGAGCACCACTGAATTCTCATAGCGGAGCGATCATAGTTTGATATCCCCCATGTCTTGAGCCAGCTCGACCAAGTGCAGATGTGCGCTGCACCTCGTCCTCGAGTTTCTTCCATGGTGTGCTGCATGCTTGCCGTCCGGGCCCTGGTATGTCGCGATATGTAATTATCAACACCGGAGAGTATCCCCAAGCAGCTGACTTGTTGCAAGCCAACTCGTCGGAGCCTGGAGCACTGAATCCCGCCAGAGCTCTGACGATTCCTTCTCAGGTAATCCTTATATAGGCGGTTGCTGCGCTGGATGCGTTGCTAGTGCGAGGGATGTCTTGCCCCTGAATATTGGGGCGCTGAAAAAGGGTTGCCCAAAATGCCAGCAACTCATCGAACCTCAGGCGCGGCCGCGGCGGCAAAATCACGGTTCACATTTTCCGTGTTTGTTCTTTGTGCCTCTCCAGCTGTTGCTCTCGGATCAAAGATTCGCCTCCACCATCGTGGCGGATCCAAGGGGCGATGGCCGCCGTGAAGCGACGGGTAGACGTCATTGAAGAAGTACCAGATGTGGCCGACAACAATGCCACAAATCTCATCCTTGGGTACAATGCCGTGCACAACCAAGCTGAAGGCCATCAAGACCCAGGGAAGATATGGCGCAGTGAAGACCAATATGCCGAGGAAACTGAGTCGAGTGTCTGGGTTGCGGCGGCTCCAGATGTACACCAAGCTGGAGGAGAGGGCGGTGCCTAAGAAGGGAAGAGAGAGAAACGGTGAAATGAGGAGGAGAGAGGTCATCGCGTAGAACAACAGCCATGAAAAATGAGCGGGGGAGCGACCGGAAGATTCTTCGAGGAGTCGCGAGTACCGCTGAAGGAAAAAGACATGGAAGAGTAGATCGAGACTTAATGGACCGAAGTAGAGAAATGTTGTGAGAAGTCGCCAGTACTGCCATTAGAGTCAGCCTTTGCTCCTGCTCAAATAACAGCCTCCTCTAGAGTTGCGGTTTCTCATGACGTACCTGAGACTTGAAGTAGACTGCGCGGAAGCTGTAGAACAGCTGAAATGGTGTCAGGATATGACATTGCACCAATACTGAAGTGGCCACGGTCGCAACTGTCCACCATCGAGTAACTGGAGGCATTTCATAGAACCATTGCTCCAAGGGGAACTGCCCGCCCTGTCCACCATTTCCCCAGATGGCGGCCATTACGTCGGAGATAGAGCAATAACAGAACGGAGAATGGGTTGAGCTTGGTTAAGGAAACGATTGACAGTGAGTGAGTAATACGAAGAACTGAACAGCAATTAATGTCTTAATGAAGAGCATAGGCAGTATGATTGAAGATTGTACAAAAGGCACATGTGATCTTGGACAACATGTCAAACTGGATAAATAATAACACGGCAGGCACAAGCTCCAGGTGGCCTTTTCTCCACCTCCGAACAAACGTCAGTCGGGGATTTGCTTACGGTTTGCTTACTTGTCCGATAAGCAATTCGAGTTCTTATCGTCACGTGAAAGCCAAGCGCGCGCTACGCGTCAATAATTCGGATGGCTGGGGACAACATTCTGCCGGCGCATTGAAGAGGCAGTGGAGACATGGAGTAATTGAGGGATCACCAGCTCCCCATTTCATCCCAACTGTCTTATTTACTTTGAAGAAGATTTTTCTCAAAGAGAGAGGGTTCCATGCCAAGTGGCCCCGGGTGGAATTGGTACGACGTCAGGTCAGATGCACATTTAACCATCTAGATTAGGATCAAAACAAAACAAAATACTCCTTGTCCTCGCGCGAACCCCTCTCATCAGACAGGACACAGCAATTTGTGAAGGCGCACAGTCGGTCGGATATCTTCGGCGGTTATATTCTTACGAAAAACGGGCCCTCGAGTAACAATTCTCGCGTAACACCGAACGCGCATTTGTCCACCATGCCGCCGAAGACTGGACGAGGACGTAAAGCAATTGGGGCTCCTCGAACGCAACCTCGAGATGACGGAGGTGCAGGTCCATCTAATGCTGCGGCCACTGCATCACCTTCCACTCGGGGACGGCCGCCCAAGTCCCGCGGAGGAACAAGGGGGGCCAAGCGACCAGCCCGCGCCCCAAGGCCGTCAGACGTCCAACGTATGTGCATACATTGACTCCTTACGCAGGCATATCAAAACCTATGCAATAGCATTATCGCTAATACCGTACTAGCTGGGGACCCAACCCCTCAAGGTCGCCGACACCGGTACAAGCCGGGCACAGTCGCATTGAAAGAGATCCGCAAATACCAGCGCTCATATGACCTCCTTATTCAGAAGCTACCGTTTGCGCGACTCGTACGCGAGGTCGCATTGGAACTTCTCCCCGCTGAAGTAGGCGCGGAGCTACGGTGGCAGTCGCACGCTATTCAGGCGCTACAGGAGGCCGCCGAAGCTTTCCTCGTCCATCTTTTCGAGGATACCAATCTCTGTGCTTTGCATGCTAAGCGTGTAACGATTATGCAGAAAGATATCCAGCTCGCCCGAAGAATACGCGGTGTTTGGGGCGGTCTGGGATGATTTTGAGCTTCCAGATTGCAATATAACGGCGTTTTGTGGGGAAAGAAATATCAGTCAACAAAGGGAGAAAAAAAAACAACAAAAAATCTCTCCTATGAGAAATCAGGCGCAAGGGAGCGACTGTCCCAATATCGATTATTGCATGCAGACAGTCGACTTGTTCCGTGGTGTTTTATTCTCATTCGAGGCTTTTTTACTGCTATGTCATGGTGCGATTCAACCTGGCTCAGAGTGGTGCACACGTTGCAGGCGTATGGAGAGTTGTGGAGTCATATTCAGGAAATTAGTTTCTATCTGGTTCGTGTCGGCCGTTACATTGAGATTGTTTGTGCCAGGGCCAAAGAGCCTTCGCGAGTTCAATGCATGTATATTAAGTAGTTGCCTTGCCAGCAAGGTTGAATAGTGGATGCGATGTAGTCGGTGCATCTAACTTGTGTGCACTTCAATTCCGTCAAGGAAGTCGCAATTTATCAATGTCTGGAGACTTACTAGGATTATGCAGTTGAGTGTTTCTGAACAAATTCTCGTTCAATTTCATCAGGTGTCGGAGGTGAATACCTGCAATCTGAAAATCATGGCAGGCCTCCGTGTTCATATACCGGACGCTATAGCAACAACTTGTTGTATCAATACACAAGCTCCCATTTATGTATCCCAGATGCGCCAGCCATGTCCCATGTACGCAAAGATCATCACAATTGGCCATGAAGTGGTATCGCAGAACAGAAGGCTAGCAAGATTGCCTTGGACAGAAGAAGCAAAAATGAAAAGAAATAAGAACGAAGATATAAAGAGAAGAAGGTGGAGTCACACAGGTCGTTTCAGAGCTGGTGGCAATCCGGTCATCACGCGGTGACCCTCGTCGCGAACTCCCTCTGCCTCTTCACTTTTCCCTTGCCTTTCCAACGTCTCTGCCAGCATTTCATCAGTGACGCTGACCCAAAGTCGGTCATTGGCCTTCTTTGCCATTGCCCGGCCTGCGCGAGCGCTCTTTTCAGCTTGCTCCCCAACCACGCCGCGGAAATACTTCCAGCTCATGAACGTCAGCGTCATGCAGGTGATTTGACTGTTGCTTATTGCCGTGGCAGATTGAAGAGCCTGCTGAAGATACTGTTTGGTCTGGATGGTTGACTCTGTTTGCACTGTCGCACATACAAGGTAATACGCCGCCTGGATATACTTGTTCGGGCTACCCTTACAGAATGACTCGACAAGGGCCAAAGCGCTGGGAAGATTGGAGTGAGACGGATGACTGGGGTCACGGAGTATGAGAATCGTATTTAAGGCGGCAAGGATAGCGATATCGCGACGAGGATCATTTCGTGCTGTCTTGCTGGTGATTGATGATAGTGAGAGAAGAGGGGACTGGAAAATGGAAAGGGCGGCCTCCAGATCACCAGTCGCCTGCGCAAGTGCGCCCGTTGCATACTCCATCAAGCGCTGAATGGTGTCAGGGAGCTGATCCCCGAGTTCCTCTGCAATGGGGCGCAGCTCCTTTAGTGTCTGATTCGCCAGATCCCAATCTGTCCGACCACAGGCAAGAAAAACCTGATGCAGAAGAAGATTGCAATACAGGATCCGTCGCCAATCAACGCGTCTATTTGCACTGACCATTGACTCTGCAATTTCCTGCGGTGCTTTGAAGCTCCCTGCGGACTCCCGTTAGAGATTTTGGAACCTCAGAACGGAAATAGGACATACCTTTAACCATTCGTATCCCTTCCTGGAGAAATTTCTCAGCCTTACGACCATCGTAAGAGTTCTTTGCGCTGAGTGTGATCGAGCTGAGGAAATAGCAAAGCGCATAGAGATCGTGCTGGGGAAGCCAATTGAAACTCAATAGGAGCGTCCCATTTTGAACTTGAAGGATATCGCCCGTATCAATGGAGGAGGGTCCAGCTGATCTTCCACTCAAGGGAATTGAGAAAGAGCCATCAGCACGCCAATTGGGATCATTCAATCTTTCGTCCATCAAATCTTGCATGACCTTCAATTTCTGAGATGACTGGTTGACGTCGTATTCAAGGAGACTGCAACAAATATCAACCATTTGCACCAGAGTCGAGAGCTGCGGTATATGACGGAGCTCATCGTTGAGTTGATGGCTTCTTGCTACTGCAACTGCACGCTGAGCCTGTTCGATTGCATCGGAGCTTGTTCCATGTTGCAGATGAGCAAGTGCTTCAATCACGGCCGAGATGGCCGCGACAGCTTTGTCGCCTTGTCGGTTAGCCATATTCGAGATCTTATGTAGATGTTGCAGCGCCGAGACGGAATCCTGATGCGCCGGTGTTGATAACGAAAGTGACACCCGAAGAAAGCGAAAAGCATACTCCCAAGCCGAATGGCGGTATCTGCGACTGTTAGAACCAAGCTGCGTAGAATGCAATGTTCCAACTTACGCTTCGACATCCAGTATCATACCATCGACAGCCTTCAATGAGGCTTTCGGGTTGGTCTTGTGTAGCATCCGCGCCAGAAGATGCTGCATACTATATTTGAGATCTAACATGCGATTCTGCAACACCGTAAGTAACCTGATGGTGTGTTCCAGGAGAAACAGCAGTGCATAGCCGAGGGATGCCAACTCACTCTCTCACATAAATCAATCTGTCGAAGCAAGAACGTCAGTAGACTGCTGGTTTAATGAACGACTGTGCGCTGGAGCCCTTACCCCTTTGCTCAGGGCTGTTTCTGCCTCAAGATCATTCTCCGTCTCCTCAAACAGTATGCGCGCATATCGCAACCTTACAAGGGCTTCCATTCGCGGTTGTAGCCTCCAATTCTAAAAGGGTAACACTGAAATTAGCTTGAATGCCCGACAGTTACTGGCGAAGCAATTGTTGTAATCGGGAGAAGCGGCAATTCAAACCTTTAATACTGCCTCCAGGCAACCAAGACCTGTCGCAACAAGCTTGTAATATTTCTCAATTTCCATCTCCCGCCTTGATAAAGCGACCATGGTCCCGTGACCATAAGCTGCCTTTAAATACTCATCTGCCAAGCTTAACAAGAGAACTTGATAATCTATAGGCGGCTTTGTTGGCTTTTGCACGGGTTGCTGAGCGTTCTGTCGTTGCACTTGCTTTTTAGAGCCCTGGCGCGGCATTTTCTGTTGGACTTCCGGTGAAGGAGCCGGGACCAGGACTTGAGGGAGGGGTTTCTTCGCCTGCACGGGAGGCGCGGGTTTCGATGCCGACGGAACGGGAGGAGCAGGTCTCGAGGATGGAACAGGAGTCGCAGGTTTCGATGATGACGGAGGAGGAGCGGGTTTCGGGGATGGCACAGGAGGAGCGGCAGCTACTGAATTTGAACTTGGAACCGAAGGCGCTGGAAGAGCAACCTGAGAGTACTGGTTGAAGACATTATTCCCCAAGTTTGGAGTTGGGGCTGTCTGATATGCCGATTGTGTTGATTGCGCGGGTGTTGATTGCGCAGATGTTGAGGCGGTTGCGACGGCTGGGGAACGGTTGCTGTTGCCTGCAACAGAAACCATGGGTTGGGCACCATATTGGGTTGAGCCGTGGGCAAGTTGAGATGACGAGGCAGGAGGAATAAGCGGTTGATGGAACACGTCAGATGGGTTCACATATTGCTGTTGCGGCTGCTGTTGTGGCTGCTGCTGTTGGTGGTGCGATTGTGGTTGGTGTTGATGCTGCTCTATATTATATGCTTGTCCGTAGGACGAGTATGGCGAAATTATAGTCTGAGGGTAAGCGACAGGCTTGCCATACTCATATGGCGAAGCGTTTGAGTCGGCATTGCTATACAGTAGCTGCTGCGGTTGTTGCAAATACTGCGGAGGATATTGACCGTTATGAGATGGTGGGTAGTTCATCGCCCCCGAACGCAGATAACTGTCATGGAATCGCAACGCTCTGCTATCCCGGATGATAGATTTCGAATTTGAGGACGAAGATGTTATCGAACCAGAGACCTTTCATCGTGATACGCGCCGTTTCCGTTTCGGTTCGGAGAAACTCCAGGGCGGTCAGACCACCTGTTTCATCTACGTATGACTTAGTATAAGGGACAGCCTAACAGAAAGACATCGACATTAGTCGCAAGGTGCTTCTATTTTATTAAAGATTATTACAGGGAGACTGAGTAGACAAAGATCAAGCAGATGGTACAGATATGCATTGCAAGGAAACGACTTGATCTTCTATGAGGGTATACTCTATGAGAAGCAAAGGTACCTATCCAAAACAGACAAAAAAGAGAAGGGAATCAAATCCACAAGAAGTCGCTGGGAAATGAGAAGCATAATACGCAATGGCAAACGAAAAAGCAGTATGAATGCGTGTCATCATAACGCCTTGCCCCCGCCTAATGGCCGAGCTGGAAGTGTCGAAGGCTCAGAGAGTCTTCCCGGTCTTTAAATCAGGTTTATTGAAGTGTAAAGCTGACTCATCGACTGATCTTGGACTGCAGGACGAAGGATATCCATTCCCAAAGCAGGTGGACCGGTAGAAGGAGGATGCTCCCGGACAGTCCAAGGGCATACCTCGCTGCAATTGTCGACTTCAACCGAATTCTCAGCGGGATGTATACGTTGAGAAGCCCACGTCTGATCTGGCGTCGATGTCGTCCCACCAAGGCATCTTTCGGTCCAGAAGTGGTAAGTTGCCCTACCTAAGTCCTGGTCAACACGGGAAGGTTGCCTTCGAGGACACTTGAGCACTGAGTTGCAAGAATTGCAAATTGATATCCGCTTGCATGACGCGCAGATGCTGTCGAAGCTTTGGCAAACAGTCGTCTGGCATACACTGGAGAGCCACAGGTCGACTGACCGATGAGCACATCCGAACCGGGGCGTTATGTATTCTTCCTTTCCTAGCTTCCCGGATTCCGTTGTCAATCGGTATTCGGTCTTGATCCTCAACTGATCTTGGTCATCCAGCTCCGGATAGATCTCAATCTGTAGCTGCGTAGGACCATAGTCCTTGGTGCAAGAGTGCCAGCAGAATCGCTGTTGAATGCTGGCTCCGAACTGAGACTGTAAGGCGGCAACCGATCGCTGTCGCACTTTCAAAAGTTCAACAAGATCCATCTTATCCCGAAACGTCAATTTCTTGCAGGGACACAAGTCAACTATGCCCGCAAAGTTACCCAACAGACATGCTCGGTCCTCCGGTTTGCGCTTGAGTTCGCGAGAGGAGAAAGCATCTCGCGGATGGAGCTTCAAGCATTTCGAGCAGGCCCACCACCTGCTGTTCTCTAGTATGTTGATGAGTTGCCATCGTGTGGTAACGAAGTTGTGTCCGTTTCGGTAATGGTGGAATAGAGGTGCAAAATCCTGGTTGAACCTGAAGGGTCCAAATTAGCGAAGTGGACTTCGATCCCTGGGGCAAAGCTGATGAGGCAGTTTCCGTACCTTACAGATCTGAAAATGGCTCCGGATATCGCAAACAATCGTTTACAGGTCAGAGCCAGGCATGTTTCAGGTATTACAGATAGATGCGAGATGATCTCTAGCAGCAGCTCTGTTGGCAATTCAAGGAGATAGCACCGGGTCGGAGGTTTCGTCGCTGTGGTCTGCTCTTCGGATTGACCTCGCACCCACGTATCCATCTTCGCGACAGTCTTCAGCTTTTCTCCAGCCCGGCGGAAAGGATACACCATGTTGACTGAAAGCCGCTTGCTTTCTATACGGGCTAGACTAGAAACCAGCAACTTGGCGCTTTGTCTCCAGCGTTTCTCGCCCTTCACTCCGAAAACCTTCGTTGAAGATTGACAGTAGGTCATGGATATGGTAAGAACCAGCTAGTTGCTGCTGGCTCTCTGGTATCATAGTGTGTAGTTATATGGAAGACACAAAAAGCGCATCGCGTGACAAAGAGCCGTTCAAAAAGGAAGGCTAAGATACGGAGGACCTGTTGACCTTGAAGTAGTCCCCCCACGATGGCTTTAAGTTGCACGCAAACGGAGCACGCGCTATGATCACGGTGTAGCAGATGCTATCAGCATTACATACAAGGCTAAGGCTCCCGATGCAGGGTCACTGTCCGACCACCCCAAAGGATGGCTGCTTCAACTCATCAATAAAAAATGCTGCAAGCATACATAAGTTCCAATAATCTGTAAAGTAGATTTTGAAACCGGGTTTCCATTCCGAAAGGGATTTGCAGGACGACTTCTCGCCGAATTTTGAGCTGGCTTTCCGCTTTCGGATTCCTGGCAGCCGCATTGAGCACTCGTAAGTCTAGTAGATGTCTGCATCTTTCTTCTCAAAATATGCTCACTTCCAGCGTGTGCCACTTGGCTTAAAAAAAGTCACAGTCCATACTGATAAAAAGAGGAGGGAAAGAGTTCGATGTAACTGGCCTTATTGTGTTATCAAATGACTGCTAGCTTCATGATCATAGGGTTTCTCTGTGTCTCATGATGTAAGGGAAAACAAACAGAACAAACAGTGGAAGCAAGCATGTGATTGCCAAGTCATTGATCAGATAAACGGTGCTTATGTCATGGCTTCCCGATATGGTAGTGATGCCGAGGCAGAAGGAAAGGAAAAATCCTATACATGCAGAAAGCGTGGTGCAGAGTGGTAATGTAGGTCTGTTTCTGTCTTTTGATTCTGTATTCTATTTCTTTCATTTTGTGGCTACTATCGTCATAGCAAAACTCTGCTTATAGATCAGATTGTTGATGTATTCAGACGGGTCAGTCAATCATTGATCCCTTTCGGCTCTCAAGGCTGCCGCTGTGGCCATGACTGACTTGCCATTCAAAGTATCCTAAACGCCTATTTACTTCCGTGGATTATCTCTGGGCTGCTGCTCGTAATAAGCATGTTGTCATGGATTCGACCAAGTGCACGGCTTTCATTTTTCCATTCCAAGGATAACAAACTCCTGTTGACCAAGAAGCCTGGCGAATCTGGTGTTAAGCAGCAAGTTGCGTTGGCGGATGTCTGTCGCTCTGCGACGCCGGCGAAATGCCATCTGAATCCGTTCCTTTTCAATGGGCATTTGCAGACTGCCTGGACCACCGTCAAATTCGATGATGTTCCTGTGTATTACAAGCGTAGGATGTTTGAGGCCGACAGTCCGATGTATAAAGGGCACTTTGCAGTGGATTTTGTCGTTGAGCCGTACGAAACGCTTAAGGACAACGCCGAAGCTACTGATGAAGCGAGGAGATACACTCTGCCTTCAGGTCTTCCGGAACGAACGTCTTTCTTCTCGGAAGAGGAGTTCCAAGCTTTGCCTTCAGACGACACCAAGCCCATGCTTGTGCTTCTCCATGGTTTAAGCGGTGGCTCACACGAGATCTATCTGCGCCATGTACTCGCTCCACTCATTGCAGATGGGAATTGGGAAGCATGTGTGGTCAATTCCAGAGGCTGCTCTCAAACCAAAATTACTACCGGTGTGCTCTACAATGCCCGGGCCACGTGGGATGTTCGTCAAACTGTAAAATGGCTCCGCAAAGCGTTTCCAAATCGACCCCTGTTCGGAATTGGGTTCTCTCTCGGCGCAAATATCCTTGCCAATGTAAGTTGCTCTCCCTTCGTGATTTGAGAGTAAATTAACACTTTCGTGCACAGTACCTCGGTGAAGAAGGTGATGCATGTCAACTGAAAGCGGCGGTGCTCTGTGCAAGCCCCTGGAATTTAGATGTCAGCTCGGCAAACCTCCAAAAGACGTGGCTCGGACTTGAGGTGTACAGTAAGACGATGGGATCAAGCATGAAGCGACTCTTTGAACAGTGAGTTTAGCGCTGCCAATAGCAATCTTGTTATCCAGGCTGACTTGTCTATATCAGGCATGTTGAAGAAGTCTCAAGGAATCCGCGAGTGGACGTGGAGGCAATCAGAAACTCTACATACTTGCATGAATTTGATCGGTAAGACCTCGTACATTCTCTCAGAGCACTTTTTCGTCGTTCGGTTATTGATCATTCCGTTAGGGCACTGCAATGCCCAACCTGGGGATACCCTACGGAAGGTGCATACTATCGAGACGCGGCATCCATCGACTCCATGCTTGCCATTCGAATCCCATTCTTCACGGTGCAGGCTGAAGATGATCCGGTTGGTCCTGCAATTAATTCTAAGGTTTAACGTCGAACTAATCAGTTTGTAGATCGCTTCGGTCGATGCGCTTCCTTTTCAAGAAATGACGCAGACACCTTATGGTGTCATGTTGACTACGTCTTGGGGCGGTCACCTCGGTTGGTTTGAACTTGGTGGAGATAGGTGGTTTGTGAAACCGGTGTGTATTTCCTGCAGACACCATGACGCTACTACTGACCTCTGAGACAGGTGACAAACTTCCTGAACGCGATGGCCAAGGAGATAGACCTCGGGACGCCATTCATAGTTGAGCATCCTGAGAAGCTTCCTGGTCATATTGCGGACCACTTTGATTCGAACAAAGATGCAGACACGGCGCCCAAACCGGACTTTGACCCCATGCGGCGCAAATTGGCCATGAAGATGGTTCAATAAGGGAACATAATTACACACTTCTGGCCTGCTTGGGAAGGCCGGTATATAATGCCCATTCATGTTACTTTCGGGTAATACATAGACCTGCGGAAACGCCAAATAACCCCATCTAGATACATAAAATTGGTATAGATAGAATAGACTTTCGTACATAGAACGCTCAAGCAAAAGAAACACTCTTTCTCTTTCCTTTTGACTTTGAATCTGATTTGGAAGTCGAAGCATCAGATTTGGAGTCTTCATTGCCACTGCTCTTGCGCTTCCGCTTCTGGCGAATTGATTGTTTAGCTTCTTCCTATATCCAGAGATTCTCGTTAGCCAATGCCTCCAAGCAGTGCAAGTACGGTAATGCATATGATATCGAGACATACCAACTTGTTCTTCTTTTCCGCGTGTCTCGCTTCTGCTTCCTTTCTCTTGGCTTCGCGAATCTCCTCTAATTGACGCGCCTTCTGCAGCTTGGACTCAATGTGGCCCTCTTGTTCGGCATTGACCATGGCAAGAATAGTCATCATTCCCTCCTATACATGGAGCAGGTGTCAGCGATCTTCAGCCAAAGCGAGAGACAAAAGATTGGAGAATGGGCACACGGACCTGATCATCAACAAAAACCTTTCCCTTCTTCTTGCCCTTTGGCTTCACTACTCCGACAGGCGTGATCATATTCAGCTTCGGGAGGCCAAGTTCTTCTTCTGTATATTCCCTCTTCTTCGTCTTCTTCAATAGTGATGACTCCGTGCGTGCCTTCGACTTCACTTCCTTGGGTGGCGGGCGCTTTGCATTTTTCTTGCTCACTTTCGAAGCGGATGAGAGAGGCTTGCTCTTTCCTGAGTCACCCTTGGAGGATGACTTGCCTTTGACTGAAGGCTTATTCGGCGCCATATCTGTTATCTACCAAGATCGTGCCTCGCAGGTGGGTATCGTGCAGAGGGAATCGGATTTGCGGATGTCTTTTCGCTTAAGGTAGGCCGACGGCGAGAGAAAGACAAGTAGACCAGAATCGTATTAGATAGATTTCACGGTTACCCGCACCGATACAATGGGCAACAATGTGTATGTGCAGATTAATTTCGGGAGTCGACCATAGCAAATCTCGATGCTCTCCAAATAACTGCGGACGAAATTTTTCGCAAAAGGAAGGCGGTAGGGCCAACCGGCGAGGATCCCAAACCTCCACTTCCAACCCATCCATCGTCACGCTAACTTGAGCCCGGAAAGGAACGTCGAATTTCAGCGCACCTGTCCCTCCCCCAGCTTACTGTGTCTAGGCGCGGATCACCGACCACTTCCAAGATGACCATCAATCCCACTTACCTCGCGCAGCGCACGCGCTCCTGTACGTGCAGTCTTTCCCGCCCCGAGACCGTCCCGCGATGACCTTACAAATTGCCGCGATGTCAGTGGATGAACTGGTCAATGCTAACGTACATGTTCATGACAGCCGTCAATTGGGCCGATGCAAAGTCTCGCGTCATTCGGTCCTACAGAGCATGGCTCAGAGCGGTCAGTTTGCCCATCCCGCAGCTATACATCCTCTGATTTTGCCCTTGGATATCCGTCCATTGAGCTGCTGAAAGCTCTGATCATCGGCGAATGTTTCTCTACATGCAAGAAAGGACTGACATAGAACCACGTCGAGGAGAATAGTCCCCCGAGATTCAGACCATGTACTCCTTGAACCTCCCCGTATCCGCAATCCGGACGAAGATTCGCCAAGAGTTTGAGAAGCACCGCTACGTCCAGCAGCTGGGCGTTGTTGATGTTCTGTTGTTCCAGAGCCATGCAGAGTACCAGGTCAGTCCAGACCAACGCTATAATTTCCGTGCTTGATCCTCTGTCTCGACATAGCCTTCTTCGGACTTCACTGATGGTATTTCTCTAGGAAACGCTCAACTACTGGAAGCAGCTTTCGCATGTGATGAAATACTTCCGGCCGGAAGAGGAGCCCGGTGCTAGATTACCCCCTAACTTCATCTCCGGCTTCTTGGAAGGCCGCAATTGAATGTTTTGTTCGAGTTTCTTCACTTACCATGAGTTTCTTCCGTCTTCGGGGATTGGGGCATTGGGTTGCGTCCCAGATAGAAAGCGGTCATGTAAATATTGTCAGACTAACAAATTGCAGCTTTTGTTCCTTGCATGTTGCATTTCATTCTGCCTTTCCAGTACTTGTACTTATCGTAGAAGGCCACGAACACCTCAAGAACAGACATTATCATTTGCAGGTCTGTTGCACATCATACACTGTAGAGGGATATCTAATAATTCTGTTAAAGACATGGTTTACTCCGGTACAATGCCATAGACAACAAAATCGTCCCAATAATGAAGACCAAGGAAACTTTTTGCTTCAATATACAACGCCATAAATGTCGAATCCACCCAGAAAGAACCATGCATCACGAGGTCATCTTATCAGCCTGGGCAGCATTGAAAGCATCCCGCGCCGATGTGAATTTGTCTGTGACGACATCACAGAGGTCCATCAAAGCCTCCAAGCCCTTCTCCAGGGCTTCAACTGCAGTTGTGGAATCTGCGATATTCCCGTCAGCTCCATCAAACGGCGCATATGTGTGGAAAAAATACATACCGTAGGTCTGGATACGCAAGTTCATCTTGGTTTCCGAGGGATGCGGGATCGTGTATCCGCAAAATTCAACTTCGGGGCTGGAAAGAGTAGGAGTCAGCAGTTGCGACATCTACGAGAACCAAAATACGGTCGACTCACTTCTTCATGATGGCATAACGTAACGCATTTCCCAGAGTATGGCCCTCGCCTTCAAACTGAAAAGAAGCTGCAGTCTCGGTGGCACCCGGTAGCTGAAGAAGATTCAGTAAGCGATCAGTCGGCGAAAATTCGTGCTGCGTGTCTGACAGGAGCAGAACCGCAGACGACGGGGGACGTATAACGCACCACGACAATACGCTTTTCCTCAAGCTCGAACTCCTCCTGTTCATAGTCCTGCTGCTGTTCTAGCTCCTGAGGAGCAGTGTCCATCATGGACTGGTCTTGGTCCTGAGAGTGTACAGAGGCTGGCATGGTGGATTTTCGATTAAAGGGTATGTAGCACGGTTTAGTCGTACAGAAAGTGATAGTTGAATGCGGGCTTCACCAGCCTGGTCCGGGTGCAGAAGAATGCGTTGAATGCGCCTTGTCAAGAATGGCCAGCTCAGGTCCGTCTGTTTTTGATCGATATGTCTGCTTTTTCCCGTTGTGAACCTTCTTATCCACTTCTTCTTGTTCCGAGATAGTGGTTTGTAAGCAGCGGAGCTCGTTCGGGGGTTGCGTTCCTGAGTATTCTTCCAACGGAGCAGATCAAATCAACGGAGCGAGTGCAAGTGGCTTCGACTTGAAATATAGTTCCTGAACGCAATTGAGTAGTGACGCTGAGGAAATCCGTTGCGCAGTTCGTCAGGTCCCTCAGAGGAAGAAAAAGAGTAAAAATGGTTATCGATAGCGTGCTGACCGCCTTCGGTATTCGGCAAGTCTTGGAGGATCATCAGACCCAGAGGTACCTTGACATACATCCTTAGAGCTCGTAGAGGAGCTTTACTGCATCTGTACGATGACTGGGGTATACTCTAAATGATTGATCATTCCAAATACTTACAGTTGCAGCGAGCGGGATGGGAGACGAGGAGTTGCTGTTCGGCCGAACGAAGCACACCTCAAAGAGATACGGAGTTTCGATACCGAATCCCATGCTTTACCTTCAGCAACTCTACTGAATTGACCACTGTGGGTTTGCCAGTTCGGAGTGATAATTTGGGTTTTGAAGACTCAGAACGTGCCATCTACGCTTAATACAGGATACACAGCATACTACTATACGGGGTACCAAGTACTGGATATCCATGTGATAATGTGACCGAGACAAGCTCTCCTGCTCATGTTGCAAGAAGCCGGGGATCTATGCAGATTACCTATTGGCTGTCCTATTTCCCACGGTCCAGCTTTTAGTTGTCAATCACCTCAGGATCGACCACTACCCCGATTTTGTGGATGTTGTGCAACTGTGGCTTGTCGAGCAGGAGCTATCAATATCTTCAGTGAGCGCAGTGCAGATACAGGATTCCGCTGGATCTGCTCTGTCGGTCAATGTTCCAGCTCAACTGGCAAGACTGAAGTAGCAGCATAAGCGGTCATATCAAGGGATATGATATCGGGCCATTGAGGTCTCGAATAGCTGCGACCTACTAAGACACATATTCCTGTAACATTGTCACTATATTGTTGTCATTTATCTAAGGCAAGAAATTTTCCGAAGTGTAGGGATTACGGAGTCCTGACAGGCTGACAGCTGACAATTTGCGGACACTAAGAGAAACTATTGTATTGAAATGGAACAATGGACTCAGTGGAGACCCAGTTGAGCCTGGGCGGCTGAAATCTGAATTTGGTAATAGACTTGTAAACTTTCTGCTATTTGGAGTAGATCTCAGATTAAGATCGGCTAAGAAATGGACGCAAAGACCACTGGCCAACTGCTGTGAGCCTGTGATATGCCCGTGGGCCATGACACTACTTCTCTCTGACTGAGGAATAGGTCTGTGCAGACTCTTGAATACTCGGTTTGGTGTTTACCAGTTCCTGAGGATGATTCTCACTACTGAATAGTAATAATGAAGAATCAGAGAAGTATTGTATTATGATATAACCGACACACTTGGATTTGAAAAATATTCTCACTACGATCGATGGTATCTACTACCATGACCCAGGTTTGTAGCCCGTGTTCCTAACTTCATACTTCCTCGAGGCCGTGACATAATTTCGCTAGAAACACTTATGGGGCCAAAAGATCACTAGTACATCCGTCTAGCACGTAGTGCGACTGTGCTAACTTGCTAAGGTTGGCCTAGAATGATTTCCCAGAGGTTTGGATCATGGACTGTCTATTCGCGTCTTACTTTTTCGACCTGCCACAATCCCGAAGAATTTATGAGCTGACTCGTGGCTCGCGCCATGTCTCATTGAGAGGATTCAGAGTACAGTTGGAGTACCAATGTTCAGACAGGATTGGACATTATGTGACTTGATAAGAGGACTGGCCACTTCTAACAAAAGCCTAGACGGATAGAGTACTGTCGACTCTGTGGGTTGATATCTTCAAAGAGATATCACATGATAGTTGCTCCATAGCAGGGTTAATAGCTAAAATAACTTATGCAATGACAGGGGTTGCAAGTTTGCTTATATTTATTACATATTAGCCATGAACCACTTTCCACTATGATTAGACTACTGTCAGAGACCTAGCTCAATAATTAATATAACCGCTGCAACAAGAACAGGGATTGGCTCTCTTCCTGCATTGACTAGATGGATCCGTGCGTCGATATCTCATCTCAGCAATAATGGCAGGCCGCGCGGGTCAAAAGTACTTGTCAGAAGCACCATTTTTCCGTAAGGTAGATCTGAGTTTCTACCACGACGGAGTACCAATGCTCCGAATCCATAATTCAATGTTGCACCCGCACTGACTCCTGTAATGGACTAGCATTCCTGAAGGAAAGGTGATGGACCGCACGAGGCATGGGTCTGTGTACCGCGAATAGATAAAGGGCCATATTGTCAGGCAAAAAGCGGACATTCGAGTGACTATTGAAGCTCATGCTACATGAAGTAGACCCATGGATACTATATCTAGGTAGAGACGAAGAAAGGTGATTGTGTCGATTCAGATTGACGTTCTGGTGGTGATCAGGAAGAGCAGATATATGCATAAACTAGTCCCTCGTGGGCATGGGCCTTGACTGACTGCCTGGTTTATTGGAGCAATTTCTTCTGTGCCACAGTCATCTCAGTATCTAGTGATCTAGTCTACTCCGCACGTCAGGAAGATTCAGACATAAATCTGATGTTACCACTTTCTCTTCAAAAA